TTAATCTCTCCACCACACATGCCCCAATATCCTCAGGCACAGCAGGGTTTCGGGGGGGGGGTGTCCCAGCTGCCTCAGCAGGGGGCGCATGTGTGGTTGTAGGAGAAAGGAGACCACCTGCCGTTCCCTTTTCTGATGGGGCCGTTTTTTTGCGTTACCATAAGAATGAAAAGGCCCCTTGCCCAGGCTGGGGCTTTTGCTTTGTGGGGATCTGAATATATCACCCTCTTTGCGTCCCCATAAAGTTGCAGGAGTGGTGGGTGGGGAGAAATGAGTTCCCTTCCTCAATAAATTAGGTTTCTATATTAAACCAGCAACATAATTTCCTGGTCTTCTAAAATCTGGAGGCTGTCACTCAATTTAAATGGATTTGCCGGCTGATTAATTGATGTAACCGCAGCTTGATTAATCCGTTTACCAGTGAACTGATTGAAGATCATTGAGTCCTCCCTTAACAGGGCCGCCTTCTTTTTTGGAGATTTATGTCTCTGCGATAGGGTTTTGATTTTTCAATGAATACTTACTGTTAAAAACTCCCCCGCTAATGTTAGTATCTCCCTCTTGTACATTTCCTAATTACAGTAACACACCAGGATGAAAGTAGGTTTTTATTTTGTTTTATAGAAGATAGCAAACGTGGCCCTAGCTGTTACTAATAGCTTGATCCTTTTAAGTGAATCAAATGACACTTCCATTCATAAACCTACGGCTTAGACGTTTTGCAACCTCACAGAGTTCTTTCGCATAACTCCAGCAGACCCATTGACACAAATGCATAGAGGCGTCTAAGCATAATAAGCATTTTCAACACACCACCTTCCTGGTTACAACTTGAACTGCACAATTGTGGGCCAGTGTGATGTCGTGGTTGGACTAAGACTCTGGGCATGAGACCAGAGTTTGAATACCTGCTCTGCCACGGAGCTCATTAGATGACCTCAGGCCAGCCACTCACTCTCAGACTGACCTACCTGACAGGGTGGTTCTGAGGGTATAGTGGGGGGGGGGAGAGAGAGCTATGTACGTCACCCTGAAGTTCTTAGAGGCGAGGTAGGGTATACATAAAGAAACCGCTTGTGTTTCTGCAGTGATGGTGCTGATTATTGCTAGGTTGTATTCAACTTATGGGTGGCGCTGTGGGTTAAACCACAGAGCCTAGGACTTGCCAATCAGAAGGTCGGCGGTTCGAATCCCCGCGACGGGGTGAGCTCCCGTTGCTTGGTCCCTGCTCCTGCCAACCTAGCAGTTCGAAAGGACGTCAAAGTGCAAGTAGATAAATAGGTACCGCTCCGGCGGGAAGATAAACGGCGTTCCGTGCGCTGCTCTGGTTCGCCAGAAGCGGTTTAGTCATGCTGGCCACATGACCCGGAAGCTGTACGCCGGCTCCCTCGGCCAGTAAAGCGAGATGAGCGCCACAACCCCAGAGTCGGCCACGACTGGACCTAATGGTCAGGGGTCCCTAAGAAATTCAACTTATATCAGGGACGCGGGTGGCGCTGTGGGTAAAACCTCAGCGCCTAGGACTTGCCGATCGCATGGTCAGCGGTTCGAATCCCCGCAGCGGGGTGCGCTCCCGTAGTTCGGTCCCAGTGCCTGCCAACCTAGCAGTTCGAAAGCACCCCCGTGTGCAAGTAGATAAATAGGGACCGCTTACTAGCGGGAAGGTAAACGGGGTTTCTGTGTCCGGCTCTGGCTCGCCAGAGTAGCTTCATCACGCTGGCCACGTGACCCGGAAGTGTCTGCGGACAGCGCTGGCTCCCGGCCTATAGAGTGAGATGAGCGCACAACCCTAGAGTCTGTCAAGACTGGCCCGTACGGGCAGGGGTACCTTTACCTTTACCTTTATTCAACTTATGTTTCACACAGCGTAGACCTATTGAAATTAATGGACCTAATTTAGTTTGCAATCTTGTACAGTTCTACTCAGAAGTCAGCCCCATAGATCTCCGTGGGTACATGAGTGTAGGTTTGCAGCTTGAGTCACGCTTGTTAATTTCAGTAGGTCTAACTCTGATTAAAACAACAACAATAATAATTTATTTATACCCCACCCATCTGGGTGGCTCCCAACCGAATATTAAAAACACAATACTGTACAGCATTAAACATCAAAAACTTCCCTAAACAGGGCTGCCTTCAGATGTCTTCTAAAAGTCAGATAGTTGTTTATCTCCTTGGCATCTGAAGGGAGCGAGTTCCACAGGGCGGGTGCCACCACCAAGAAGGCCCTCTGCCTGGTTCCCTGTAACCTCACTTCTGGAGGGAACTGGACCTCTTGGTTGAATGCCACTGATCATTATTGATTAAATGTCTATTCTGTCCTTATGTCCAAAGGAGCCCAGGGTGGCAAACTCCCCAAGGGTGTTAAAACAGTGCAATTAAAAATAAAATTTAAACTTTATTTTAAAACCTTAAAAATATTGAAAAACTTTTTTAAAAAGTAAACGTAAAACTTAAAGAAAAAAAGGGTCTCCCTAGTGGTTTGATGGAAACATTAGAATATGGAGAGGAGTAAGAGGGAAACCTGTGTTGATGCCACGTAAGTCAATGGCCAAGAAGCTTCTCCTTCCCTGGTCTTTCAGGACTGGAGCTTTATATAAAATGGTGCCTCCCCTCCTGGTTTTTCATTCTGGACAGGCTGTCTGGAAGGCTGGAACAGTTGATGGTCTTGTGGTAGTTGTTATAAGGATTTGCTTAGAGAATCAGCCTTGCTGGCATTTTGCAACAGGACAGGTCTCTTTCCCCGAGGAGGCTAGTGATGGTATCTGTTAGGCCACTGAATAGGAGGCTGGACTAGATGGGCCACTGGCCTGATCCAGCAACCAGGCTCTTCTGATATTCTTACATGAGCACAGGGGACTCTTGCACCTTTAATTGTGCAGGAAAATCCTTCTGCACATATATATTAAAGATGCAGTAGCCCCAGTCTGCTTTGCTTCCAGCCATCCTACATAACTGAGGGGAGGGAGATTTGACACCCTGATTCAGAATCCTGTTAATAATAATAATAATAATAATAATAATAATAATAATAATAATAATAATTTATTCTCTATGAACCAGATTTCTTTTATTACTGCAGCTCTCTGGCTAAAGCAAAGCTCCTTTTCAGTTTTTTGACTTTGTCCTCCAATCTGTTTGCAGTTCCTCCCGCTTTTGTGTCGCTCACAGGCAGGGCTCCTTTTGTATGTGAGGGTAACTCGCCGTTTTATGTCTTACGCTGCTGTGTCCAATTCAAAGGACGTCATAAAACCCCCAAGGGGTTGTACAGAACGCTCATTCTACCCTGAGCAGATCCGTTGAAAACAAAGGGAGTGACTCATCTTGGGTCCGTGAATTTCGGCCGATCAGCTCTGAGTAAGACATGGTTGAAATGTGGTTTGAAACCCCTCCGATGTGTCCATTTTCCAGCTTTGTCTTTGCAGGACCTCTGCCCCCCCTCCATCCCTCGCTTTCCTTTCTCCCTCTCTTTTCCTTCCTGGTGCCCGCTGGTGCCCTCCCGGCCTCCGAAGGGCCTCACCCAGGTCCAAAACTTTCCCTCCCCTCCCAGGCGGCGGTTGAGAGACGGATGAGAGCAGTTGGCCTTTCTGGGGACAGCGCTGTGCTCACAATAATGAATGACTCACTTCGGGAACAATTGAAATGATGGCAGGAAGTTGGGTGGGGGGGATCACTTTTTCCACGGGTCAGGTTTCCAGCTGGGCTGTTTACTGCGTGACGCAGGGGGATCGGCCCGCCTGACAAGGCCGGCTCTCTCAAGGTCGTGCGGCTAAGGCAGAGGGTGGGAGAGCATGAGACTCTTCATCTCAGGGTCATGGGTTCAAGACTCCTGCACTGCAGAGGGTTGGACTGGATGACCCTCGTGGTCGCTTCCAACTTTACGATTCTGTGGTAAGAACAGTTCAGTGATGGATCCATTTGCCTAGACCAGTGTTTCCCAAGCTTGGGTCTCCAGCTGTTTTTGGACTACAGTTCCCATCATCTCTGGCCTCTGGTCCTGCCAGCTGGGGATGATGGGAGTTGTAGTCCAAAAACAGCTAGGGACCCAAGTTTGGGCCCTGGAGCGTTCCCTCAAGCAGAGATTGGACAGACATCTCCTGGAGATGCTCTAACTCTAGATTCTTCTAGCTCTGGGCTGGACTAGATGACCCACGAGTCCCCCTGGCGACTCTTAGAATTCTATGAATTGATAATACAGTGGTACCTCAGGTTAAGAACTTAATTCGTTCCAGAGCTCCGTTCTTAACCTGAAACTGTTCTCATCCTGAAGCAAAGTTCTTAACCTGAAGCACTATTTCTGGGCTAACGGAGTCTGTAACCTGAAGTGTATGTCACCTGAGGTACCTGTTGGCTGAAAAAGTTTTGCGACCTGTTGTTGTTTAGTCGTTCAGTCGTGTCCAACTCTTTGTGACCCCCTGGACCAGAACACGCCAGGCACTCCTGTCTTCCACTGCCTCCCGCAGTTTGGTCAAACTCATGCTGGTAGCTTTGAGAACACTGTCCCACCATCTCGTCCTCTGTCGTCCCCTTCTCCTTGTGCCCTCCATCTTTCCCAACATCAGGGTCTTTTCCACGGAGTCTTCTCTTCTCATGAGGTGGCCAAAGTAGTGGAGCCTCAGCTTCAGGATCTGTCCTTCCAGTGAGCACTCAGGGCTGATTTCCTTCAGAATGGAGAGGCTTGATATTCTTGCAGTCCATGGGACTCTCAAGAGTCTCCTCCAGCACCAGAATTCAAAAGCATAAATTCTTTGCCGATCAGCCTTCTTTATGGTCCAGCTCTCACTTCCATACATCACTACTGGGAAAACCAGAGCTTTAACTATACAGACCTTTGTTGGCAAGATGATGTCTCTGCTTTTTAAGATGCTGTCTAGGTTTGTCTCCCAAGGAGCAGGCGTCAGGAAACCTTTAGTAGGTTGGCCGCCTTTTTGTGGGTCAGTTGTGTGGGGAGAGGAGGGCTGCCTTTCCCAGAAACTCCCAAGACCTCTGTGTGTTTACAGACTGGCCGTGTGGACAAGAACATCCCCTTGGTGACAGGGCATACGGCCCCCGTGCTGGACATTGACTGGTGCCCCCACAATGACAACGTCATTGCCAGTGCCTCCGAGGACACAACAGTCATGGTAAGCGATGGCACCTTTGGAGCAAAGGTGTGGGGAGCTCCAGGGAGACTATTTTTAGAGGGGAGGATGTTTCTAATCGGCAAAGGGGGCATGTACTGGACGTGGTTGGGTACCTGTAGACACCTCATCAATTTGGGTGCCCGGATGTAGTAGAACAGCATTTTTCGGAGGTGGCATGGGGGGAGACGATTCAAATGCATCAGGTCAGGGTTTTTGGGGTCCCTCCACACGTGACTTGAAGCGCGCAGAACCAGCCTCCTCTTCCAAGCCAGAGAGTATGGCCGTTCGCCTTTAAATCACTGGAAAAGGTGTCAAGGGCTGTTTATAGCTGGCCGGCCGGGTCCTCAGCCTGGTGTCTGACTTGCTAGGTATGATGCAGCATTTTGGGCTAAGAATAGCTCAGCGCACGACAACTCAGCAACTAAGAATAGTTGGCTCTGTGGCCTTGGCCGGGGGTGGGGTGGGGGTGGGAATGAAGAAGGCGGCAGCGTCCTCTGATCCCCCCTGCCAAAAAAGAATTCCTCTTCCTCCCCTTTTTCTTCTCCTTTCACAAAGGACACCAAAGTGTCCTCCATGGAAAACTTTTTTTTTTTATGTATGCGTTTATCTTTATTTATGAGCTCAGGGACCATAGGCAGTTGCCTTATCCGGAGTCAGGTCCATTGAGTTCACTATTGCCTACACTGGCTGGCAGCTGCTCTCCAAGGTTTGAATCGGGGGGGGGTGACCCCGTCCCTACCTGAAGGTGCCAGGGATTGAGGTTGGGACCTTCTGCATGCAGAGCAGGTGACCTGTCACAGAGCTGCAGTGCCCTCTCCCCTAAAATTGGAACAGGTTCCTAGTCCTCATGGTTCTTAATGAAAGGGCTGGTTTAAATAGGAGCAAACCATTGGCCCCTTTAGCTGAGTTTGGTCTGCACTGGCCGGCAGCATTTCCCTGGGGTTTCAGGCAGGGAGAGCCTTATCCCAACCCCAACTGGAGATGCTATTGTGGCTAGAACCAGGGACCATCTAGACGCAGAGCGGGTGCTGAATGCCTCTGAGCTGCCGCCGTCTCCATCGCCGCCTCTTTGTCCCACCAGGTCTGGCAGATCCCTGACTACATCCCCATGCGCAACCTGACGGAGCCAGTCGTCACCCTCGAAGGGCATTCCAAGCGTGTGGGGATCCTGACTTGGCACCCCACAGCACGCAACATCCTACTGAGCGCAGGTGAGACCCTCTCCCCAGATTCAGGCCCCTCACTGCACCAAGCCTGCAGCTCCCAGCATCCCAAGCCATTGGCTGGGCTGGCTAGGACTGATGGGAATCGTGGCCCAAAATGTTTGGAGGACACCAGGTCACAGAGGCTGCTGATTTGAGCTCCTCGGAAGAAAGGTAGGATTCAAATACAACATCAAGTGCCTTCCTGGCACATCCTCTGCCAAAACAGCTCACCTGGACCTCCTGCCACCCTTTCGTCCTGCTGGAGTAGGCATAGCCACCTACTGGCAGCCGAAAGAACTGCAGCGTGACGACAGCCTTACATGTATATGTATATAGTAAGATATTTGTCTAGATCAGCCTTCCCGCAATGTGATGCCCTCCAAATGTTTCAGGACGGCAGCTCTCATCGCAGCTGACTGTTCTGTCACGCCAGGCTGACTGATGCCTCATTTTGGCCCTTTCCCAACTCCCCTTCCTTCCTGCAGGGGGCGACAACGTCATCATCCTCTGGAACGTGGGCACTGGGGAGGCGCTCCTGACCCTGGATGACCTGCACACCGACCTCATCTACAATGTCTGCTGGAACCACAACGGGAGCCTCTTTGTCACCACCTGCAAGGACAAGCACCTGCGAATCATTGACCCCCGGCAACACCTGGTTGTGGCAGTGAGTAGCCGCTGCTGGCCCTAGCCTGCCTCTGAGCATGTGTGGACAGCCTCTCCTGCTCCCTGGCTTGTCTCTCCTTCCCTCTCTCCCCTCCCTGCCCTGGGACAGACATCTAAGGGTAAGCGTCATGGCACAGATTCCCTTGGACCTGGGACAGGGGACCTGTGGGCCTGCAGGTCTGTTGCTAGACTCCAGCTCCCATCAGCCAGCATGCTCAATGGTTGGGGACAATGGGAGCTGGAGCTCCCGAGATGCTTGACCGCTCGTAGCGGAAGCGGTGGGCGGACTTTGCACATGCTCAGAGACCCACTCTTCAGACACACTCAGGGGTACTTTTCTCCCCACACTGTCCCCAAGCTTAGCAGTGGGGCGTTGCCTAGCCAATTTTTAAATACAGGTATTTATTTATTTCATAAAAGTTATACACTGCTTGATTGTAGAAAACCGCAAAGCAGTTTACAAAAAGGGATAGAACAAGAAAGTTATCGCTCAGAAAAAAATTGCAGAAATCATTTAAAGCTTTCAAAATGTTAAAATAACAATAAATTGAAAACAGATTCAAACGCTTGCCACTTGTTTAGGCTTGCCTAAACAAAAATGGTTTTAGCAGGACAGTGAAGGCACCTGTCTGATATCAATAGCTAGGAAGTTCCAAGGTATTTTATTTTATTTTGCTTTTTTCATGGATGAGCCTCTTTGACATCCCAAATGAGCCAGGGGCGCGGAGCGCTCCTGCTCACATCGTGATGAAGATACAGTGGCAGGAGAAGTAAGATTGTAGTCCTCATGGGTCAAAAGAAATATCTGGTTTGGAGAGGAAGCTGCCTTCCTCTTGGTCCATCTGGCCCAGTATTGTCTGCACTGACTGGCAGCAGCAAGACAGGGTTGCAGGAGGGAGCATTTCCCAGCCCTGCCTGGCGATACCATTAAGATCCTGAGACATTCTGCATTCAAGGCAGATGCTCTCCCAGTGAGCTCAGACTCTTTCTATCTGGGAAGGGGCAAAACAGCACTGATCTGTCTGTTTAGGGCAGTTAACTGGGATGTGGTTTGCAAAGCCAGATCAGGTTCTGTCTCAGACCCAAAGCATCCTCCTTTAGGATTCGTCCCCAGTTTTGCACTCGCACAAACGTGAAAGCGAGCCTCTACGTTAAAGGAATGTGAGTGCTCCGTGTCAGCCTCTTCTCACAGTGGCCGGACCAGGTGCCTGCGCCAAGCCCTCGGGCAGGATTCGAACACAGGATCAGCTCTCCCTTCCTGCAATTGTCCCGGCAGAGAGCCGTGTTCCTTCTTCCTCCCCTCTCCGGAGTGTGCTCTTACTTGGACCTGTACTAACCTTGTGTGTGTGTGTGTCTATTTCTCTGTTTGGTCCTAACCTGCTTAACCCTGCGGCCGCCAGGAGAAATTCAAGCCCCACGAAGGCGCCCGTCCCGTCCGAGCCATCTTCATGGCCGATGGCAAAGTCTTCACCACCGGGTTTAGCAAGATGAGCGAGCGGCAGCTAGCGCTTTGGGACTTGGTATGGCTTGGGGAGGGGGCTGCATGACGGATGGTGGGGAGGGGTGTGTGTGTGTGTGTGTGTGTGTCTGTTTCTCTTGGGGTGGGGGGTCTATCCTGGCCTTTCTATCAGCAGGAGGAGAGGAGAGGGAAGGAGAGCGTCTTGGAACCCAGATCCCGGTACTGAATGAAGAGTACCAACCAGGGAATCACCTCTGGTATTTTTGGAGGAAAAAATACAATACAATACGATAATCTTTATTGTCATTGTCCCATACAGAACAACGAAATTGAAAAAATCTACATCAGACATTCAAAAACCAACAAGCCTGCTATCCCAGCTATCCCAGCCTGGTTAGCCCCTAAAAACTCTGATACCCCATAATTGAATACAGTATACTTCCATAGAGACTACCTCAAAAAGTTAAAGGGACCCCAGACCATTAGGTCCAGTAGTGGACGACTCTGGGGTTGCAGCGCTCATCTCGCTTTATTGGCCGAGGGAGCCGGCATACAGCTTCCGGGTCAAGTGGCCAGCATGACTAAGCTGCTTCTGGCGAACCAGAGCAGCGCATGGAAACGCCGTTTACCTTCCCACCAGAGCGGTAGCTATTTATCTACTTGCACTCTGACGTGCTTTCGAACGACTAGGTTGGCAGGAGCTGGGACTGAGCAATGGGAGCTCACCCAGTCGTGGGGATTCGAACCGCCGACCTTCTGATTGGCAAGTCCTAGGCTCTGTGGTTTAACCCACAGCGCCCCCTGCATCCCGAGAGACTACCTTACACTGCATTTAAAACTAAAATCGCATTTGGATAGAAACTGTCTAAACGACAACAAAGGCCTACCAAAAATGTGTACTGACCACAGTTTCCCCTTTCATTATAAATGGGGGGCAGGTGGGGAAACAAGGCAGCTCACCATCTCCCTGCCCTGCCCCCCCCGAGTCATTTAGAAAACTTTTTGAACTGGTTGCCTGGAGCCAGTTTTAACTCGCCCCAGGCGACCAGGCCCATCTGGTAGGGCTTCCCTTGCTCTCTGTTCCATGATCTGCAGCTGCCAAGCGAGATATGGATGTGAACAGATATAAGAGGGAAAGGTTGAGACAGATTTATTTAAAATTTTTAAAATTCTGATTTTGGTGGTGGTTGTAGGTTCTGGCCCTTAGCCTGAGTTCACAACATGGCCTTATTCAGAGAAGCATATTTCCTCTGTGATTTCTTGGTCCTGTTGGGAAACACTGACTCTGGACACACCCTACATTTTAAAGCCCATTCACTTTCCCCGAAGAATCTTGGGAAGTGTAGTTTGTTAAGGGTGCTGGGAATTGTAGCACTTTGTGGGGGTTAAACTACAGTTCCCAGGATTCTTGGGGAAAATAATGTGCTCTAAATGTATTATTATTATTATTATTATTATTATTATTATTATTACACACCTTTCGTCTAAAGAGCACAAGGTAGTGTACATAATTCTCCCTCTCTATTTTATCCTCACAACAACCCCATGGCGTAGGTTAATCTGATGCTGCCCTCTGTGGCTTTTTCTCAGTTTTGCCGCTTGGGGGCGCACCTCTAGAGTAAAAGAACCACCTGAGAATTAACAGGGACCTCCCACCACACAGCGAGATTTATTAAAAATTAAAATTAAAAATTTCCTTGAGAAATCTCCAGGGGCAGCAGCAGCTCCCAGCCGGCAACCTCTCTCTCTCTCTCCATCCTTCTCGCCTCCTCCGGCGCCTCGCTTTTCCTTTCGACACACCCTTTTAACCCTTTCTCTCCCCTGCTCGCCCCAGGAAAGGTTTGCCCCCCACGAAGGGATGCGGCCGATGAGGGCCGTCTTCACCCGCGACGGACTCGTCTTCACCACGGGGTTCACTCGCATGAGCCAGCGAGAGCTGGGACTCTGGGATCCGGTAGCTGGGCCACGCATGGTGTGGAGTGTCTCTCCCCCCCCCCGGGAACCTGGGCGCTTTCTGCGACATTGCCACCTCTCCCGGCACGCTGAGTGTTTGGAGACAGGCCAGGCCAGGGCAGCTGCAAAGTTCAGGCGAGGAGACATGTGCTCAAAGGCATTAATGCGCAGAGGAACATCAGAGGGACACCATAATTTCTAGCAGGGCAACTTTAAAAAACATCAGATGCCCACTGGATCCAAAGGTCCAGCATCCTGTATCCTCTAATTCAATGTTTCCCAAACTTGGGTCTCCAAATGTTTTGGACTACAACTCCCATTATCTCCCAACATCTACATGCAGCCACTGGGAGAGATCATCAGGGGCTTTGGGCTGGGTGTTCATCAGTATGCAGATGATGCCCAGCTCTACCTCTCTTTCAAATTGGAACCTGTGAAGGTCCTGTGTGAGTGTCTGGAGGCGGTTGGAGGATAGATGGCAGCTAACAGATTGAGGTTTAATCCTGACAAGACAGAAGTACTGTTTTGGGGGGAAAGGAGGCGGGCAGGTGTGGAGGACTCCCTGGTCCTGAATGGGAAGGCCCCTGAAGGACCAGGTGCGCAGCCTGGGAGTCATTTTGGACTCACAGCCTTCCATGGAGGTGCAGGTTAATTCTGTGTCCAGGGCGGCTGTCTACCAGCTCCATCTAGTACGCAGGATGAGACCCTCCCTGCCCGCAGACTGTCTCGCCAGAGTGGTGCATGCTATAGTTATCTCCCGCTTGGACTACTGCAATGCACTCTACGTGGGGCTACCTTTGAAGGTGACCCGGAAGCTGCAAACTAATCCAGAATGCGGCAGCTAGACTGGTGACTGGGAGCGGCCACCGAGACCATATAACACTGGTATTGAAAGACTTACATTGGCTCCCAGTACGTTTCCGAGCACAATTCAAAGTGTTGGTACTGACCTTTAAAGCCCTAAACGGCCTCGGTCCAGCTGCGAGAAGCCAAGTTACAGGGAACCAGGCAGAGGGCCTTCTCGGTAGTGGCGCCTGCCCTGTGGAACGCCCTCCCACCAGATGTCAAAGAGAAAAATAACTACCAAACTTTTAAAAGACATCTGAAGGCAGCCCTGTTTAGGGAAGCTTTTAATGTTTAATAGGTTATTGTATTTTAGTGTTTTGTTGGAAGCTGCCCAGAGTGGCTGGGGGGACCCCAGCGATGGGCGGGGTATAAATATATTATTATTATTATTATTATTATTATTATTATTATTATTATTATCATCATCCCTGGCTAGCAAGACCAGTAGCCATGGATGATGGGAATTGTAGTCTGAAAAAACAGCCAGAGACCCAACATTGGGAAACGCGGCTCTAATTCACACGCATACAAAGAAATCAGGTGTCGAAGCTGCTTCTTGCTCACTGACAAGGCAGGCGGGCAATTGAACTACCGTATTTTTCGCACCATAGGACGCACTTTTTCCCTCCCAAAAAGCAAGGGAAAATGTGTGTGCGTCCTATGGAGCGAATGCAGGCTTTCGCTGAAGCCTGGAGAGTGAGAGGGGTCGGTGCGCACCGACCCCTCTCGCTCTCCAGGCTTCAGGAAGCTATCCGCTAGCCGTGGGAGACCCAGCTCTCCCACGGCTAGCGGACCGCTGCGCTAATCCAGAAGCTTGGGGCGTGCGGAGCACAGCGCGCCCCAAGCTTCTGGGTGCCGGCAAGGTCTCGCTAGCCCTGGGAGAGCCCCGCGACGTTGCGTGGCTCTCCCAGGGCTAGCGAAGCGCCGCGCTAATCCCGAAGCTTGGGGCGCGTGGAGCTCAGCGCGCCCCAAGCTTCTGGGTGCCGGCAAGGTCTCGCTAGCCCTGGGAGAGCCCCGCGACGTTGCGTGGCTCTCCCAGGGCTAGCGAAGCGCCGCGCTAATCCCGAAGCTTGGGGCGCGTGGAGCTCAGCGCGCCCCAAGCTTCTGGGTGCCGGCAAGGTCTCGCTAGCCCTGGGAGAGCCCCGCGACGTTGCGTGGCTCTCCCAGGGCTAGCGAAGCGCCGCGCTAATCCCGAAGCTTGGGGCTTCGGGATTAGCGTTCCGCTCAGCCTGCTTCCCGGAGCGCCAGGCGCCCTGAAAGCAGAGCTCCAGGCGCTTCGGGAACACATCCGCAGCATGGGGAGCCTTGCAGGAATTACCCACAGGGCTCCCCACGCTGCGGATAGCAGCCTGCTGCCTGGCGGGTGGGGCGCCCTGAAGCAGAGCGCCCCTCGCGCCAGGCAGACATCCGCAGAGTGGGGAGGCTTGCAGGAGTTCCCCACAGGGCTCCCCACGCTGCGGATAGCAGCCTGCTGCCTGGCGGGTGGGGCGCCCTGAAGCAGAGCGCCCCTCGCGCCAGGCATACATCCGCAGAGTGGGGAGCCTTGCAGGAGTTCCCGACAAGGCTCCCCACGCTGCGGATAGCAGCCTGCTGCCTGGCGGGTGGGGCGCCCTGAAGCAGAGCTCCCCGCCCGCCAGACAGACATCGGCCAGCCCCACAAGCTTGGGGGACAGCAGGGAGGCGCAGCGCCACTATGCCGCTGTTCCTCGACCTGGTTCGGTTTCCCTGACCTGCTTTTGGGGGGGGGAAATAAAGGGGAAATTTTTTTCCTTTATTTCCCCCCCCAAAAAACTAGGTGCGTCCTATGGTCCGGTGCGTCCAATCGTGCGAAAAATACGGTAATTTGCATTGCTCAGTCGGTAGAGCACATCTGGGTTGTGGGTTTGAGTCCCACGCTGGGCAAAATATTTCTGCATTACAGGGGTTTAGGTTAGATGACCCTCGTGGTCCCTTCCAACTCTCCAGAGTCTAAGACAGGTGTGGGCTATAGCTAACATTAGTCCTACTCAGAGTAGACCCACTGAAATTAACAGAGGTGACTATGAGGTTCATCCCTTTCACCTGCCGTCGTTTCCCTGTTTTGCCACTGGAGGGCGCATCTCTAAGTTGCTTCCTGGGAGATGTAGTTTTTCAGTGCCTTGTCAGTGCTGGATCAGGTGGCATTGAGGACTTCATCCCCCATCATGCATTGTGCAGGAGGCCAACTTTTACCACATTCCCCTGAGTATAAGGATCATTGGATTCTAATCGAGCCAACATTGGAGGCAAATGCCATGTTCCTGGAACATGTGGTGTGGATTTGCGGTGGTGTGAATTTGCAGAGGCGTGTGTGCTTGTGGGGAGTGGGGGGGGCATGAAAATCGCAGTGCATGCTGGGAATGCTGTGCTCCTAAGTGTGCAAAACATAGGAACTGGGACTTCTGAAAGAAGGTTTCTAGGTGGGGGGACCCATCCCTACCTGGGGTCAGGGGAAAGGCATTCCACCGCAAAGAGAAATGTTAATCCCAGAGCTGCCACAGGGTGGCCTTTAAAGGTAAAGGGACCCCTGACCGTTAGGTCCAGTCGTGGCCGACTGTGGGGTTGCGGCGCTCATCTCACTTTACTGGCCGAGGGAGCCGGCGTACAGCTTCCGGTTCATGTGGCCAGCAGGACTAAGCCGCTTCTGGCGAACCAGAGCAGCGCCACGGAAACGCCGGTTTACCTTCCCGCCGGAGCGGTACCTATTTATCTACTTGCACCGGTGTGCTTTTGGACTGCTAGGTTGGCAGGAGCAGGGACCGAGCAATGGGAGCTCACCCCGTCATGGGGATTCGAACCGCCAACCTTCTGATCGGCAAGTCCTAGGCTCAGTGGTTTAACCCACAGCACCACCCACGTCCTATAGGGTGGCCTTTACACAGCTGGCATTTGGCACAGCCAGACTTCCCACTCCAAGGCCAGCTATGTGCTTGAAGAATGACCTGGCCCTCAGCACATGCTCAGAGGCACACAGTCTCCTTGCTTTGCTCCTCCTGGTTTTGAGCCTTGGGCTCCCTCCCGGCACAGGAACCCAAAAGTCAAGATGGCGAAAGGAAGGTGATTCAAATGCCTGACAAAGGGAAGCGGGGTGTGTCCCTAGCTTAATGGGGGCGGGTCAGACTAGATGTCCTTTGAGGTGCCTTTCAATGGAGCTCAGTGGCAGAGCCCAACGAAACATTGCACGCCGCCTTTGTATACCATGCCAGGCTCTTTCTCCACATTGCCCAGTGTTGCCTGCACTGACTGGCAGTGCCTTTGGTAGGGGAAGCTCTTTCCCCCCATCCCACGCTACTGGTTTCTGGAGATGCCAGATTTCGAACCTGGAACCACCTGTGTGCAAGTGGGGGCTCTGCTACTGAGCTCCAGACTCCCTTTCCACTTGGGCTGTGGGGCTGAGGAGGGAGATTGGGTAGTGCTGGGCTTTTGGCTGAGAGAAGCCGGCCCCATTTTGTGTGTTTGTGTGTGTGTGTGTGTGTGTGTGTGTGTGTGTGATTGCTGTGCCCAGGTTGTGTCCTGTCTGGTTTTGCCCCCTGTGCCCTGACACCCCTTCTTCCTGCAGAAGAAACTTTGAGGAGCCCATAGCCCTCCAGGAGATGGACACAAGCAACGGGAGTTCTTCTTCCCTTCTATGACCCTGATCCAGCATAGTCTACCTGTGTGGCAAGGTAAAAGTGAGAGACATGTTCACTGATACCAAGATGAGGGATTCTTTGGAATGCAGATAGAGAGAATGATAAGAATAATGATCTGTTGTGACCTTGACAGAAGTGTACAATTAGATGAGCCTTCTTGTATTTTGGCTCATCTTCCTCCTTTCTTCTTCTTCTTTTTTCCTTCTTCTTTTTCTTCTTCTCATCCTTTTTCTTTTTTTCTTTCCCATAATGGCTTATGTTTTATACCATGTACTTTGATATTTTTTGTAATTTTTTAGCTTTATTATTATTATTAAATTTTATTTTGTTATTTTGGTTGTCTATATTTATATGTATTTGTTTTAAAGCAAAATAAAAGTTGTTTTTGTTGTTGTTGTTTTTGTAAAGTGGGAGGCTGTAGCGTTCCTGTCTGGCCACAGAAAAGATGGGGCACTAGAACCCCTGAGACCAGCTGCCCCCATTTCTCTCACTGTTTCCATTTTGGGCATTCTTAGAATTGGTACCCGAGCTCGCTCGCTTTCCTCTTCCCTCCTCCTCCCTTTTCCTTTTGCAACAACCCTTCTGCAGCATAGCGGCCTGTAAGAGTGTCTTGGCTCCTGGGTGACCTCCCACACTGGCCACACTCTCTCTCAGCCTGTCTACCTTGCAAGGTTGTGAGGATAAAACAAGGAAGTGGGGGAAGAGTGAGCTGAGTACATTGAGGGAAGATCTTCCAGGACTGATATCCAACGAAGCAGTTTGCCTTTCAGGAAAGTGGGAAGATGCTCAAAGATAGGGATTTAGCTTTTTGGATTTTGGATTTAGATTTTGAGGGTTTGGGGGTTTTTTTGTTTAAGATATTTTGGATTTTTTAGATTTTAGATTTTTTTTAAAAGTTTTGATTTGTAGAAAGAGAGCTCTCCCATAAGGCAAGCCCTACCCTGCTTTTCAAATGTGTGCGCATTTCCCCCCTATTTATATTAATCTCTCCACTCAGGGCATCCCCCTATCCTTGCTTTGCAAACTTCCGTGCTAATAAAAATGCAGTGAACTTTTCCTCGTACCCTGAAATGTGTGAGGTTCTCGTTAACTAATTTAAAAAACGAAACAAAAAGCCGAGTTACTTCCCAGCCTAAATCTCCTGCTTCCGTGCAGGGGGACAGCAGCATCCGGTACTTTGAGATCACGGACGAAGCCCCCTACGTCCATTACCTGAGCACCTACAGCAGCAAAGAACCCCAGCGAGGGATGGGCTTCATGCCCAAGAGAGGCCTGGATGTCAGCAAATGCGAGATTGCCAGGTATGGCTCAAGGTCCAGGTATGGCTCAAGAGGTGGAGGATGGCTTGAGAGGGGTGGGGGAACATTCCTAAGGCAGGTTTGTGGCTTCGAAAAGGAGAAAACCTTGGTTATTACCCTCTCCATTGGCAAGCTCAGCTGGTGCCAATCTGACACAAATAGAATTTGACGCGAATCGCAACACAGAATTGTAAAGTTGGAAGGGACCCCCAAAGGTCATCTGGCCTGACCCCCTGCAATGCAGGAATCACAACTAATGAGTCCCTGACGGATGGCCGGCCAACCTCTGCTTCAAAAGGAAAGAAGGGAGTCCCTTCCGCTGTCAAATGGCTCATAACCAGTGAATCACCCAGTGGGCTTCCCCGGAGAGCGTGTTTTGCTGATGGAGGGGCCACCACCGAGAAGGCCATTTCACCAATGGCTGCTAGCTCCATCTAGGTCGGTGCGATCTGAATAAAATCCCCCAACAACCACGACCTCAGTGGATGGGGCAGCCTAGTGTCCGGGGAGCTCATGCTTCAGGTATTGGTGGCGCAAGAATCTAGCGCAGGTGATAGGGTTGTGCCTGCCCCATAACCCACAGAGGGGGAGCCACAGCCCAGGGGCCAGGTGCTGCTCTCCAAGCCTCTCTTCCTGGCCCTCGAAACTTTCCCCTGGCCGCAGCCCTTTTCCCTCACCAGCCCCACACCTGGGGTTTTTTGCCTGGCTGGGAATTCCCTCCCGAACTCTGACTCTTTGCTTGGCGTGATGGAGGATGCACAGGTGTGTGTCTGTGCGTCTGTGGTGCAAATTTGTCTCACCTGACCTCGTGTCCCCCTTTGCCTCTCCCCCATGAAACAGGTTTTTCAAGCTGCACGAGCGCAAATGCGAGCCCATTGGTTATGACCGTTCCACGAAAGGTGAGCAAATTGGAAGATTCGGGGGACCGTGGGCATGTCCGGGGGGGGGGAGGAAGAACCATTATTGGACACACACACACACACACACACCGGCTGCATCAATTTCCCAATATACCTGAGCTACAAGTCCCGTCAGACCCAGAAACCAGGCTTGATGGGAATTGTAGTTTAGCAGTGCCTGGAGGGCTAGAGGCTCCCGCGCTATGGCCTGCTCTAGAACCGGGGTTCCCAAAATGGGCAATAGTGCCCCTGGGGGCAGTGGTGTGTGTGCGTGCGCTGGAGGGGTAAATGACTATCAGACTTTGAAAAGCTTAGAAAAGTTCACTAATTCTATTTAATGAATTAAATTTTGTTTTGAACAAATGTGCAATTAACTGTTGCTGCTTTGAATGTTATTGTGTTATTGTCTTCCTTAGTGGCTATTCTAAATAATGCTGTTTGTAGGGTAGGGGACACGGGGGTGAATTTATGGAACCGGGGGGGCGGGTGTGGCCCCCAAAAGCCATTGTTCTAGATGGACCCAGATCTTAGGCCCAGAGGGCATTATGGATAGCAAGGGCAAAGCAGTCTGGAATCTCTCCTGTTCCCTTCTCTCTGCCCTGGGCAGTCTGACCTCTTCCAAGACGATTTATATCCTGACACGCCGGGGCCTGAACCCGCACTCGAGGCAGACGAGTGGCTGTCGGGAAAGGACGCGGAGCCTATCCTGGTTTCGTTACGGGACGGCTATGTCCCCGTCAAGAACCGGGAGCTCAAGGTCACCAAAAGAACATCCTGGACAGCAGGCCCCCCACGGGCCACGGCGAAGCCAGTCCACTTGCGACACAAATTTTTCGGTGAGTTTTTCTCATCCCCTCAGGGGCGGGAGAGGGATGTCAACTTGACGGCTGTGAAAGGTGAAGCGCCTGGAACGCTCTCTGCAGCGTTAAATCAAGTTGCAGCGCCACCCTGGTGGTGGTTGGAGAAACAGCCACAAAATGCCCTTCAAGGCACTTTGACGCTGCTCAGTTTCCTCCAAAGCATTTTAGTGGGAGTTTCAAGGGGGCTGTGGAATGGACCCGAATGGCTACATTGGTGGAGGCTCACAAATGCTGTGGACTAGAAGCTTGCTTTTCCCCATCCCGAAGAGTTGAGACCTTTTCCAGGGAGCATGGTGGGGTCCCCTAGGTTCCTGCCACTCCTCTAGACTCTTGCCTTCCTCTCTCTTTCTTTTCTCCATCCCTTCTCCCCACCTGCCCCCCCCCAAAGCGTTCTGCGTTGGAGGAGCTTCTGGAAGAGATCCGGTCCTTGCGGCAAACTGTCCAAGCTCACGAGAAGCGCATCTCTGACCTGGAAAACAAACTCTGGCCAGTTTCACCCAACGGGACGGACTAGCAACTCCCCCCCACCCCCCGAAAAAAACCCCCACCACCCACCAGCCTTGGCCATGCCTGGGGACACCCTCCCCGGAGACCCGGATTCTGCATCTTCCCCTTTCCCGGAGACTCCGCTGCTTATTCTCCATGGCTCAGCAGACGTTTGCAGTGGGGAGCAGGGACATTCTTCCCCCCGCCCGACCCCCGCCTACTGGAAATGGCCCACCACCCTGACCTCCCCCCCAAGCTTGGACTTTGAATCTCAGCTGCTTTGGAACGACAGGCAAGACCTTTTCAGGGAGGGGCAGAGAGAGTGAAGGAGAGAGGGATCAGAGTTCAGATCTTGCCCCCCCCCCGTCCCAAAACTGGCCCGACACCCACCCTCATACCTCATCCTGCCTTCTCCTTGCCACGGAACGCGACAACTGTGTTATTTTTATTGGGGGGGGCGTGTTCCATGTGTGTTTTGGGATGCAGTGACCGCGGTGGGGCGGGGGGTGTCGAGATTTGAGGTTGAATGGAGACTGGGGGGCGATGGGAAGTGGGGTGAAGGCACTGCTTGCTTTTAGGGGGAGGGAGAGAGACAGACCCTGCAGGCGGGGGCAGACATTGGCCAGAGGATGAGCAGAGGGTGGCCTCTGTGCTGAGCGATACGGGTGGGTATTATGGGATGGCTCGGAACAATTATCTGGGGCCCCTGATGAGTTGCCTCACATCTTTTGGTTTGGGGGGGGCGGGTTGTTCTCTGAATATGTAGTTGGGTGGAGTGTCAGCTGCTTGAAAAGGGGGAGATCTGTAGACCATCCCTGAATTGTGATGATGTGCCAATGAATTTTGGGGATCCCTGGAATGGAGGCGGGATGGGGGGCTGTCCCCCCCCCATGCTTGTATTGCAAAGCGCAACCACGGGAGGGGGGGCTGGGGGGGACAAGGCAGGAGGGGCCATTTGCTCATGCGCAAACGCTGATTAAAATATATGTGCAGTTAAAAAGCTGCTCATCGGACGCAGCCTCTCTTTTTTCTGTCTGTGAAAGGGCAAATCTGTGTCTATCAATCCCGCTGGGATCCCTTCCATAGGAGTCTATAGCCTCCAGGGCTGTGTCGTCATTGGACAGGTTGGACCCAGGAGGACTGGATTCGAATCAAGGCTCGGCCACAAAGCTCAGCCTTAGATGGCTTGCTCTCTGCCTAACCTAATAAAATGGGGGAACAAACCATGAGGGACAGGATTTACATGGGGTGGCGCTGTGGGTTAAACACAGAGCCTAGGACTTGCCGATCAGAAGGTCGGCGGTTCGAATCCCCGCAACAGGGTGAGCTCCCATCTGTCCCTGCTCGCTGCCAACCTAGCAGTTCGAAAGCATGTCAAAAGTGCAAGTAGATAAATAGGTACTGTTCCGGCGGGAAGGTAAACGGCGTTTCCATGCACTGCTCTTGGTTCGCCAGAAGCGGCTTTCGTCATGCTGGCCACGTGACCCAGAGCTGTACGCCGGTCCCCTCGCCCAATAAATCGAGATGAGCGCTGCAACCCCAGAGTCGGCCACGAACTGGAACCTAATGGTCAGGGGTCCCTTTACCTTTTTAATAAATAAAATGAAAGAGCTTCTTCTTAAACCATAGCTCCATGGTAGATCCCAGATTCAGAGCTGTGGAGCCTCTCTCAACCGTACCTGGAGAAGTTCAGCCTGCAAGCCTGTCGCTCTGCCACTAAACCAGAACCTTTTCCAACAAGACGCCAAAAGGACGGAGGCAGGAGGCAGAGAAGGTTCACGAGGTTTTATTTTGTGTCTCTGTGTAGGTAACACACCTGAGCAGGCTGGTTGTTGTGGTCCCTCCCCTCAGAGAGTGGCTTCCCCCTGGCACGTGGGGTTAAGGACCCACATCCTTTACGAAGAGCCACACACACCCCACCCCTGACCCCGGCCCACCCCCAAAACTGTGCACGACATATTTGTCTTGTCTCGGGGGGTGTTGAGGTGGGGGCACCATCTTGAGAACTAGGCCTAGAGGCGTATCTCTGGCCCCCCGCCATTGCCTGGCAAAGGTTTTGGACAAGGAAGAGGCATGTGTGTGTGTGTATTTGTGTGTAGGTTAGCACCATTGAACAACGAGGGGTTGAGCTCCAGATGCTCTAGGAGGGTTACACCAGGGGAGGTGTGTTTTTCAGAGAGAAGGGGGGAGGAATAAGATCTGGATTGAACCCTTAGCTGCAGCATACAAACCCCTCCAGTAAAGCGAGTGGTCATGGCTGAAACCTGCCATTTTCAAAGCCACTGGCTTGGTTCAGCAAACCATGGTTTACTGTGACCTCCGCCAACTTCACGAGCTCTGTCTCAAAGAGGAAAAGAACCGAAGAGTTTGGGGGCAGGGATCTGTGGGGAGAGCAGAGGACAGCTGAGGCGGGTTCAGGGCCGTCACATGGAGATCGGAGCAAGCTTGTTTTTCTGCGCTCCGGAAGGGAGGACCCGAACGCATGGCTTTCAAGTTAAAGAAAGGAGATTCTGAGTCAACCTCAGGAAGAACTTTCTGGCGGCGAGAGTGCTTGGCGGTACAAAAGCTCCCGGCAGGTTTTGTAAGCGGAGCTTTGGGTGGCCGCCTGGCGTGTATGATCACGGCTGAGATTCTGCATCGCAGGGGGGTTGGGCTAGATGACCCTCGGGGGGCCTTTCAACTCTACGGTTCTTCGCTGCTAGGGGGCACCAAGCTGCAACATGTCTCTGCCTTCAAAACCAACCTGCCCATTTACACTGACTCAGGTGTAGGCAGCAACTGGAGCCCTGGAGATGTCAAGGAAAGCTTGCCCCACTTCCTGGGCTTGGGGGGCACTGCTCCCCCGCCCATGCCCGGCACTTAGGCAGAGCTAGCAAAGGGTTTCCCCTTGCCCTCCCTTTGGAGTTTGGAAGCCATGTTCAGGCATAAACAGCATTACAGTGTCAATTCCAAACAGGGAGGGTCTGGGAATCAGGCAGGAGACCTGGGTTTTTGAAAAGCGGGGTTCGTAAGTGCACTTGGGTGCTGGGCGGCAGGGAAGGGCAGAGGCTACCAGCTGAATTGCGGTCTTCAAATTAAAACAATCTAGAATTTATCTCCAGGATCCACCTCCAGGTTAAATTATCCCCAGCGCTGTGGACTTTCAAAAAGCAGGGCTGAAAGTGGAGTCCCCCTCACTCTGCCTCTCTATTGGACCCCTGGAATCCCCAGGCCCCACCTCCTCTTAGCCCCACCCCTGCCTAGAGGCCCCACCTCCTCCCTGGCCACACCCTCACTCTACAGGCCACACCTCCCTGGCCACACCCTCTCCCTACAAGCCCCACCTCCCCCGGGCCACACCCTCACCCCACAGGCCACACCTCCTCTCTGGCCACACCCTCTCCCTGCAGGCCCCACCTCCTCCCTGGCCCCACCCTCTCCCTACAGGCCCCACCTCCTCTCTGGCCCACACCCTCTCCCTCCAGGCCACACCTCCCTGGCCACACCCTCTCCCCCACAAGCCCCACCTCCTCCTTGGCCACACCCTCTCCCTAGAGGCTCCACCTCCTCCTTGGCCACACCCTCTCCCTACAGGCCCCACCTCCTCCCTGGCCACACCCTCTCCCTACAGGCCCCACCTCCTCCCTGGCCACACCCTCTACAGGCCACACCCCTCACTGCCTGCTTTATACTCTGCTTGAAGATTCTGCCTGGAAATGCGTCCTGGAGCTCTGGTCCTGCCTCTCAGATGGAGGATAGAGCAGAGTGAACACAGGTAAAATTTGCATCCTTTGCTCCGCCTGCTTTCCCCTAGCCCCGCCCACCACCGTCCTTCCTTGCCAATCATCTCCTGCTTCTCTCCATAGCTGGGCACTGATTTTCCTGCTCTGATTCAAGCGCAAGTTATAAAAAAAAGCTTGTGAAGGGAAGACCCACTGAAGGGAGGGGGGAGGCTGTGTGCTAAGGTGTGCAACGTTTCAAACTTAAACCAACACCTTGCTGCAATTCCGGGCATTTATAAGAGGTTGGAGTAGATGATCCAGGGATCCCTTCCAACCATGCAATGCTAAAGTCCCTTTATAATATCTGTCCATTCTGCCATTTTATTCTCTCCCCCCCCCCCCCCCGCTTGTGACATTGATGGTTTCTCCCAGGCAAGGGGAAGAAATCAATACATTTTGGATGCAGCTGGAACCATGGAGTTGTACTCAAAGCTGCTCCTCCTCAGAGTAGACCCATTGGAGCAAATAGATATGACTGACTTGGGTCCATTAATTTCAATGGTCTACTCTTTAAGCAGTCTCACGATTCCACCTTGTCACTCTGCTTTCCTGCCCATCAGCCACATATATCTCTGGTGCCAATGAGGGCTAGAACCTTGCTGCTTTTAAAATGAAAGCTGTTAGCCTGAACTAAATATGACATTAAATTCTCTCCTGGTTAGTTAGATTGATTGTAAATAATGAGCAGCCCCACAGACTGCTTTGAAGACTGGGGCTGGAGAGATTAAGCAGCACTTGAGAACGTGTTTAAACCTGTCTAACACTAATTTTCCATAATCTGGATTCTTAAACTGTGACTCCTGCATCACAAGGGGTTGGACTAAATGACTCTTTTGGGTCCCTTCCAACTCTACAATTCTATGGCTCCAATTAATTTCAATTTTCAATTTTTAAATTTCTCCCTCCAGAGCTAACAACTTCTGTCTTCCTCCCTCCCAGAGCTAATAGCAGTTGGTGAGGGTGGTTTTTTTTTTTGGGGGGGGTATTATTGTTATTGCTTTCTATCGATTTATTGGTTTATTTATAGTCCGTATAAGATACTCTGTTTTTTAATGTTTGATGTTTTGTTGTGTTTTTCTATATGTTGTCAGCCGCCCAGAGTGGCTGGGGAAACCCAGCCAGATGGGCAGGATATATATTGAAAAAAAATATTATTACAGTCGTACCTTGGTTTTCGAGCAGCTTAGTTCTCAAACGTTTTGGCTGCCAAATGCCGCAAACCCAGAAGTGAGTGTTCTGGTTTGCGAACGTTCTTTGGAACCCGAAC